TCTGTTGCTGGTGGTGGCAGAGGCCCGTTGGTTCGGTTCCCGGGGAATGCGGTGGGAGCACCTGTTGCCAGAAATGGTCTGGTTGGCTCGCTTACTCGATTTTATGATGTGCTCTTGATTCATTTGGGGGGAAACGATCTTGGCACTATTCCAGTGTGGAATCTGCGTGAAATGATCCAGAAGGAGTTATGGCTCAAGTTCCCAAGGCTTTGTATCATTTTGTCCGAGGTGCTGTCCCGGAATTATTGGAGGGGGCTTGAGACCCAAGGGCACTTGAACGGAGCAGGATCAAGCTGAACAAGCGTGTTTCTTAATTTGTGAAGAGAATGATGGGGCTCATGGTGCATCACCGCATCTTGAAGCAGAATGCAGTGATGTATTTTAGGGGTAATAGAATCCACCTTACGGAGGTGGGACTTGATCTGTTTAATTTGGCATTGGAGGAGGCTATGGCTTTGGTGTTGGGGTGGCCCCGTTAATTTAGAAATAAACCAGCGGGTCTTGTGGCCCTTGTCAACCTTTGGTTGGACTAGCAGTCTGTGGAAAGTGGATGGGCAGGGCTGTCCCTCCCCTAATCTAACATACAGGTATGAGTGACAAATGTTCCCTGTGGCATATTTTCCAAGCAAGTCTGTGGTTTGTTTATTTCGGCCAAATAAGTGGTTGGTGTTTATTGTTGGCTAAGGGTTATGTCCATACACATTTACCCTCTACCTATGCACGAGTGCTGATGTTGCTTCCAGAGCCATGGTCTACTACATCGTGGCTGAGCTGATGTTGCTCCTAGATGCTTCCACTAAACAAAAATAAAGTTGATCTTATAGGCAGGGCCGTCATCAGGGCATGACAACCATGACGGTTTTCCTGAGCCAGACATCTTGGGGGGCCTGGACTCGTCTGGGAGTCCTGGGCCCCACATTTCCCTAGATATATAGCAGAGTGGCCCAGCACACTCCATCCTAACTTTCCAGCTGATCCTCTGGCAGAGAGTTACAGAGATAGAAACAGCTGTAAAGTTATAACAGAGTGTGTGGTCCCCTGTGTACAGCGGCTGGCTCCCTTCTCCATGCCACCGGACCACCAGGGAATGCAATCTCCCCCCTCTCTGGCCACAGGAGGGAGGAATAAAAAACATCTACTAGCCCTATTCCTTTTCCAGGCATTACCAGTCCCCCTGACTAAAGCGCAACTTACCCCGCTTCAACGGGCGATAGGTAACTTTGTGTGGCAGAATAAAAAACACTGCATATCTAGACATGTCCTGTGCCTAAAACGGGGGGAGGTCTCGGCCTCCCTAACTTATTTTACTATTTTACTATTACGTGGCAGCACAGGTGACGCAGATTGCACTGTGGCATTCACCCCCGGGTGACTGGAAATGGGTGGAAATAGAATCACTTATGATGGGTGCAGATCTTCCCCAGTTTGCGATGTGGGTGCCCAGGGAACTTAGGCCTCTGATTAGGGTGGGCAATTGTGAAGAATCCCCCTCCATTCATTCGGTACTTTCCCTCCCTGCTACTTTATCCATGGATTTATTACTGTGACGAAGTGCCCTTCGCCACTTGTGCCTGG